TTTTTAAGAATAAACTACGAACTTGGTCAAAAAAAATACAAGACTATTAAGCACATTAAGAATCAAAGTGGCTTCAGTTGGAACAAAGAGTTATTGATGATCCTCTGTCGGATGACTATATGTATATAGTTTTCACCTATTAATTTGTTATTATTTGGAGAATTATAAATTACTTGTTTGGGTGAATGCATATTACATCAGTTTTGTAGTCTCATCCAAATGCAAAGAACTGCATAGGAAAGTCCTTTGAACACTGGAAGGAACTAAACACAATCATTGGCAATGATTTTGTTGGCTGTGCTAGTGCTTGGACGACAGCACACCTTGAAAAAGAAATTCAAGATATGTTGAGAAAGTTGGAGACACGGTTGCGGGCTTAGATGATGATGGTGGTAGTGAGGAAGTAGGTGGTGAATACTAGTGAGGCATTCTTTTTTTGACAAAGATTCCAAATTTATTAATACGAGTTACTCAAAAGAGATTACATCAGAAGAAATTAACAACGAAGGCAAAGACACATCACATTTGGCCAGGGAATCAGCAACATTGTTGACTTCATGGTATACATGGGAGAAGGAGATAGAGAGAGATGCAGAAAGATCCATGATTTCTAACCACAGGGCTCGGAGCTTCCACGGGATGCGCGATTCTTTCTAACAACATTTAAAGAGTCACCTTCACAAATAGAACTTACTCCCAAAGATCTAGAGCATTCTTACACATGATTGAGGTTGACAGGGCTCTTTGGATTGACATTAAGTACTATTACCAAGGTAGTTCCATTTATAGTGGACTATATTCTACACTTTTTTTATTCGGGTTATGTCATTTCTTTGCTTAGTCTACCTGCTTTTTGGACTTGAGAAGTTTGTTCTCGTATTGCTTTGGGTGTTATGATTAGGGTCGTTCTCTCTCTCTCAATGTCATGCAAGACCTTTATTTGGCTCTCTCTCTCTTACACTCACTACTCGCTGTCTCTCTATTTCTACTTAATCAACTTCATTATCTTACTAGAAATTCTTGTGGCAATGGTGATGATGATATTCTCTGCCTCACAAATCTTTTTTGGCTTTGATTATGGACTATTTTGATGGGATGAAACATCCATTTTGATGCATAATGGCTTGAATTATGCATCTTTGACTTTTGAATGTGAAGAATGTGATGAGTTTGTCACAATCTTCATAATTAGCATGTGTCTCTATTGATTATTACTTATACCTTTATTTTGGATAAAACCTTGGAACTTGGCATTTGATTATTGCTTTTGCGCAATTCAGTGGTGTCATGACAAAAATAAAGTATGAATTCAATGTCATATGTGTTTGATTGGAGATTGCAACAGGAATGTCATTAGCATCTGCAAATAGTGGGGGCTTCCCATCCCGTATGTGACTCATTGTGATGTTGAATGTGTTATATACACTTCCAACTATAAGAAGGAACACAAATAAACTTTTCTATCGGTCATACATATCCAGATAAGAAATGCAAATTCTTCTAGTGATACGATGAGTATATAGGAGATGTCTACTACATTGTAAATTTGAGGTGCCGAAATGCACCACAGTAGTCTCACTCACAAGAATCACGAGAACTCTGACCAATAACTCAAGAACTACTCCCACTGCAATAATCCAGCCTTCTTGACTTGGGCAGCTGAGACATATTTTGTTTTTTCCTATGTGTAACTAACTAATAGTCATCCTGTTGTACTCGTATTTTCCATTTGCATACGGATTTTGTTCAATAACATCTCGTGATCCTGTATAATTGCAATTGTTGATACTTATTTTGGGTTGTGATTGATAGTCTAGAGATTTATGTACTTAAAATTTTGAAAGACATTGAAAAGTTTATCATGCATCATCGTCCCTCGCTTCTCTCTAGAGCTCCAAATCCTGTACTTATTTTGTGTTGTGGTTGACATTCTAGTTATTCTCCATGTAGTGATAGTTTATAGTATCACTCTCGGCATGAGAATGGGAAATTGGTGTCATCATTAATTTTTCTATTCACAAAGTTCTGGTCACATGCTTCTTAAATTTCTGTTGATTAGTTTTGCTATAGAACAAAAATAAATGGTCTGTGTCTTGGCAGACTTTTCAAGTAAGATATTCATATCATGACATAAATTGAGGATGGGTTTGGTAGTTTCAGTTTCAATTCATATTTTATCCTTAAAAAAAGAGGAAAAATAATAATAATAATAATACAAACTATACAAAAAACATCACATTACTATAGATTAAATTCATACAATATTTCCAAGCTACAATGAGGGTAATGCATTTTCCAGAACTCTTTCAAAGGTAGCCAAATAGTAGCAATATATTTTTCATGTTGCATCCAAATACTACCCAAAATGTATTACACCAATAATATATTTCTAGATACCCAAAGGGTCCCAAAAAGTTAAGAAAAGAAAGAAACGTGTCTTGATGGCATGAAACCCGAAAGGAAGAAATATAAATTACACTGATATATATGCAAACAATGACCAAGACAACAGCCTACGATAAATATGAGATGGATTGGACGCCATAAAATATGGACATACATGTATGAAGGTCTAACTAATGCATGTGAAGGTCTAACTATGTGCCAACACTTGGGTGACTACACATACAGATGTCAATACTTCTGGAAACAGTTCATTTTTCGGATGTGCCGTTTTTTTATTTACAAACATCATTTTTAAATGAATAAATATTTTATTTTAAAAATAAAAAATATTTTAAAATAGAAGGCGCCATCATCTTCATACGTAAACATGGATAATTTTCTAGAAGGTGCCATATGAAAATTGTACAGGTTTGCGTAAGTCTTTGAAACACTCATCTGTTTTAGAAGGTTCTTGGAAAAATCTATCCAAGGCCTCATATTTTTTTATTTTTGGATTTAAAAAAACAATATTTTTAAAATATGCATTCATTTGTTTAGAAAAGCCTTTTTTATTTTCAAATGTAGGATTTAAATATCACTATTTCTATAAATAAAAATATTATGTTATTGTACAAACATGTTGTATCTTTTTTTTTCTTTTTCTTTCTTTTTTCTTCTTTTATTTGCGTTCACATTTCTATCACTCGCGTCGACATGAGCATCCGTTTCTACGTAACATAGAAATTTATCTGGAAGGGTATTAAGAGGGGGGCAGATAGATCCATGTGTATGGGAGGTGCAGGTGACTAGGAATCGAAGTAGGAACACAATTTGGGTTTCGAAGTTCGATGGCCAAAAATCATTAGGGAATCCAAGGGCCTAGGATTTGGAACTAGGACCCAATTGAGATAATCACGATTATTTAGGACAATATTCCTAAGTGGGCATTAATTAGGACTGATTAAGACAGTTTCAAGGTTAATATTGCACAAGAAACGTTTGTTTTTTGTGTTATCTACTAAAGCAGTTTTGTGTTATCTACTAAAGCAGGTGCTATCAGAGAACCATTAGCTGCTCCGGATTTGCTAATATCATGTGTTCTTCATTGGTAGAATAGAAAGAATTGGGGAAAGAAATATCCACTAAGAATGAATGAGAAGATAAAAAAAATCATATGAAAAAAAATATTTGTTTATTAGATACATGGAATTGGCTAAGCATTTTTTTCAAAGAAATGTAGAACCAAAACAGATGACTTTATGCCTAGTACTTGTTCTTCCTCCAGAGTGGCCAGAGGTAATGGGAGATGCACAATTTGGGTTCTAAAAGACGGCAATGGTCGAAAGGGTAGTATTTTGGCCACACAATAACGTTCCCAAGGTAGCAGATAGCATTCGATAAATCAGGCATAACTTTCAATCAGTGCAGCACTTTAGACCTTTGTAAAAAAATCACTGTCACTAACCCTTTTCCCTAATCATGCTATTCGTGACAAAACTTCATATGGAGAATCGCCTTGGGATAATAGTTCTCTCAGAAGATCACATACGGTGTATCATGGTTTTTCCTTCCCGGTTTCACTTTAGGGTTGCAATGGGCCTGACCAAGGCCAGGCCTTGGCCCTTGGCCGGCCCTTGTCCCTATAGGACGGGCCCTGGCCGGCCCTTGTCCCCATAGGACCGGCCCAAGCCTAGCCTAACCCAACAGGACCACGGCCAGGGTGAAAGGAAACAAAGAAAAATAAATGAAAAAAAGAGGGTAGAGCTAGGCCAGGCCAGGCTGGCACCGTGCTGCATCAACCGTAGCCCATGCCTCGAGCCACAGTTTGTGGCCCAAGCCCTACCTTTTTAGGGCCAGGCCAGCCAAGCTGGGGCACCCGGTCCATTGCCAGCCCACCCAAGTTTCACTTTAGTGAATTATGGTTTCAACAAAGGACAAGGTTTCTATAAGTTGGCTGACCTACTTAAATGAATCCTCTTTCCAAATTCTATTTTAAAGATGGACTTTGGATTCATATTTTCAGAAAATGAAAATTTGACACTTTTTAACACTTTCATTTTAGAATTTTTGTGGGACTACTATTTCCTAGCATCCATCTCCATAATGGATGTCACATGCGTCAGACGACAGACTACTACTCCTTCAATAAACTTAGTGACTAACAACTTCCAAGGAATCCAAAAAATCGTTAAATGTTTACCTACCAGGAGTGAAAAAAACCAAATCCACCCTCTTTGGAAACCTATGACTAATTTAAAACAACCAAGCCAACCCCTTAAATCCCTCTCTCCATGACTAATTTTAAAGTAACAAAACCAAAGAACTCTCTCTCTCTCTCTCTCT